GCATAATTTCGAACGCAAAACGAAGAATGGAACGATACGAAAGGTATAATTTGTTTAATAAAGGAATTATATTAAATTGTATTGTTTTCTGGAATGTTATTTAGCCATGTTTATTTATATGAAGGGGTTGACATTTTGATTATATTGTACTAATTTTAGTCAAATCATCAGACATTTGGCAACATGTAAGTGAATTGATATATAAAAGGAAAAGATCTTTCTGTTGAGGCAACCATTTCAATAAGTGAGGAGAGATAACAACTTGGAAATATCAACTACAGAAATTTGATTACTACAAAAGCCTACAAAAATCAAGATTTTGTTGGCATCTTAAGCCTGGTTTACATATTCCTGCATTATCATTGTTTACAGCTGTTGATGCATACATTCTTTTGTGAATTATTTAGTTGAACTTTTAACGACAATAGCCCATCAACAAACAGCAGGTATATGTGAACCAGGCTTCACTTGGTTAAATAGTTAATTGGAACTCACCCCCTTAATTAATATCATGTGAATATGCTAAACCTCTTTCCTAATATAGTATATGCCTAGTTGTGTTACACGTACTGGCCACATGACATCCATGATTTGATAAATAAAGAAATTTATGATGTATCTGCATATTCTCTAATTATATGTATCTCCCTTGTTCATGTTTAAATAAAATTGCTCTTGACATATATTTGTTTTAAATATAATAAATCTAGATTGGCATGAATCATGTAAGAGACTACAATGCCAGCTAGGGGCCCACAACAAGTTCTTGTTGTCTCATTGCTTGCCGGCACGCCCCTGCTTTTACTCTGTCTAACATCAGACAATTTTACTATTCCAGGGGAGAGTACAAACAATGGGCTAATCTAAAGCTTCACAGCTTACAATTAATATGTACCCACCATTGAAAGACTTTTGGGTGGTTAATGTAACAATTAATAGCAAAACATGCAGGGATGGATTTACTGGGTGGGAGGGTGTACATCCCCCTCCCTAGCCCTGGCCAGGGGGTATGTGTGTGCTATTTTTCATGATAAAGCAAAAAATATTAAAGACAAAATGAGATATTGTACACAGTACACTTGTACCACACGGAGGTGTTTTGCCAAATTGTCAAAATACTGCTGTTGCTGTATGTTAATGGAGGGCTGCACACATGACGACACAACTCGAGTCACTCGACACCAGAGCTGGCAGAGCACCCCCCTATCAGATCATGCTGGATCCATCCCTGAAAACATGTCTATCACCGGGAAGTTTCGTCAGTGACTGTTTGTATGGTTATAGGGAAATTTGCCTTGCAAAATGGATTTTACCCATGTAAATATTTTGTCTGTGAACTTTGGCAAGCAAAATGGAATGTATGTAATGCCTCCATTGGTTAATTAACAAATCCAAGGCAAATGCTATTAAGACAGGTCTTCATACATGTTGCACCACATGGAAAACTATTAGATTCTTATTAAATTCCAGTTGTCCTTTCCCTTATGTCTACATTACTCACACCCATATATAAAACAGGGCCACTGATTTAAGAAAGCTTTTGCTAATTTTCGCCACATCTGAGACACTCAAGTTTGAAAACTTTGTCTTTGTCCAAGGGATAAATTGCACAGTGTATTCCACAATAAGAAAGCTATTTGTTTAAGACTTTTATTAATGATTTCCTTCCATACAAGCGTATTAAAACAAGGCAAGAGGTGTTTATATATTTAATACGCAGGCACAGTCACAGATGTCAACAGTTGAATTTACATTTATGTATTGACAATTTTCGATCGTTCCTTTTCGTGTTACAATTTCGACTAAATCACTGCACTTTCAGCTTATTATGATATAAAATGTCGTCAACAATTTGAATAAAAATTTGTATATATCGACGATAAACTTTCAATTGAAACCCTGATTGAAACCTTGTCTTGACAAATGTCTTGACATGAATCGACGACAACGTGAATTCACTGCTCTGCAGTCACTCGTCTCAAAACAATCCCAGTAAATCGCTGCGTCGGCTTTCGATAACGTTCTCAGCTCCTTAGTCAAAGTTCCCTTTGTATTTGCAATGTTGAAGAGCAGGATTATTCGTTAATTTTACAGTTTTACTCGTCTTGTAAGCCATCGTGTTGAAAACAAAATTTTCTTCACTCCTTGCCGTAAGCCCTTCCTACTCCCCCTAAGTTTCAGTTTGTCGAAATTTGCATGCGCGAGCCAGTATGCGCAGTGCAAATTTTTGTGTCGATTTATGGCAGGCATCTCACCAAACTTTTTCCCACCACCCGATTCGTCGGGTGAGATGGCTGCGGAGGAGGCTACGATTTCTCCGCCTTATTTTAAATTTCGGATCTTTCTCGGTCGCCCTTCGGAGTATCATCGTGTAACATAAATTAATGTCAAAGATGAACATAAATTATTGCGCCTGCGATAAGCTAATACCGCTTTCAACATTCAAAATGGCGGCCGATGAAAATTGAAAACATTTACATGTAATTAAAAGGTTAGTATAAATTTACACAAATATTTCTGGCGTGCTCCCTTGATCTGTGTTGCTTATATACTTCTTAGAGTTCCGGCCAGGTGAAATCCATTTACCGCTCAAACCAACGGTACGTATTTTGAATAAAAGTCTCCAGTTCATCATAGTTGCCATTCCACTTTAAACGTTTCCCATCATAGACAAGAATATTTTTGTCTTTATACGTTCGAATATCGTCTAAATTCACATTTCCAACATTAAATTTAGTATTGGGAATATCTATGGAGCTAGCCTTAGTATGACCGTCCGCCATATTGTTTTTTTTGTTTGTTTTTTGGGGATTTTTTCCTTGCACATTTTTCATTGTAACAATAGATTTATTAATATACGTAACATTTCAAGCATGCGTTATACATTATTATTATTTTTAGATTTTATATCACAACCCCTGTGTTGTTGTTACATGACTTTAACGCTTACTAGCTTTCGCATTATTTTGTACACATTAGTTTGCCTCCAAGTATTATTATAGGCCATATTCCCTTAACATGATTTTTTATCGCCTTTACGCTTTTGTGTTCATATGAATTCGTTTTTCCCTATTCTAATTTTATGTTATTTACTCAGTTTCTGTTGTCAATATTTTGTTGGGGATTGCCTCCCTTGTTTCGCCCAACAATTCACGTACAAATTAAAACCACAAATAAATTCACAATGACGATATACAGTTTGGATATATATATATATATTAGAACAAACAAAACAAATTTAACAAATTAAAGGTTCACTTAGATTCTCTTCTCTCGGAATATCACAAGTCACGCTCTCGAGGAAGTTTTTCTCAACACATAATGTTTCATGTGCATGCAGATTTTTGTATTGTCTTTTGTAACAGGCACGCAATGACCCGAACTTTATACAAGTTGGTACAACTTGGTACAAGTTGCCAATGTGCTGCTACTCCTTGGTACAAGTTCTCAAAGTGCTGGTACCCCTTGGTACAACTTGCCACCTTGACCGACCTAGTATAATATTCTAAATTTAACTAATATAAAATTTATGTGAAGTAATGTTCAATATAAAAGTTTGATCAACCTAAAATTGGAATCGTTATATATAACTAACTAAAATTAATAACGTGCTATAATAATAATAATAGACAGTCTCCGACACTCTCCCCCCATATAGCTCACTAGTCGAGGTATATGTCTACAGGAGACTGTAATCAGTTATAGTATACTTTAACAAATAATAGTTCTCTTGCAAGTTAGTAAGTTCACCTCTCAATTGAGTTCTACAATGTCTTGTATTCTCTGACGTGCTGCGGCTGCTGCATCTCTCGTAGGTCGGAATGGTGGAACATCTGGATTTAACTGGGTTATGTCTTTTTTGACTTTCCAATCACAAGACAATTCTAGAGGGTAAAGGTGGTTGGGGGATCTGTCTAAGAATTTCTTTCCAGCTCGAAGTCTCACGGCTCTCACAACTCCATCACGCCCCGCATATAGCTCGTCCACGATACCGAGTGACCAGTTCGCTCTGTTCCGCTCGTCCGATTTGATGATGACTACGTCTCCATTACTTAACTTTAATTTCTTTGTACCGTTCTTTTGGTTATGTCGCTCACGCAGTCCTCGGATATATTCTGTCGACCATCTGCGCCATACCGCGTCTTTGCAACGAGAAAGAAATCGTGCACGTTTACGTAGACTTAAATCTTCTAGGTAGTGGGCTTGCAGTTCTGGTATGGCGTTAGACCCAACAAACAGTAACGAGTTAGGTGTTAAAATCGGTCTCTGAACATCGTCCTCTACATATTGGAGTGGCCTGTTGTTTAATGCCACTTCCACATCTAAAAGTACTTCCTCTAGCTCCTTCCACTTCAGACATCCACCACCAATAGTTTTGTGCAATGAACGTTTCACCAACCCGATTAGTCGCTCAAACTGTCCTCCCCACCACGGAGCACGGCTAAGGTTAAATTGCCAATGAATTTCAGATCTCGCGAGAAAGTTCTGAAGTTTCTCGTCCCGTTGAACAGTTCTCAGCCACTTAGCGGCAGCTAAAAACGTTTTACCGTTATCTGAGTAGATCTTTTCAGGTCGACCTCGTCTCGCAATGAATCGTTTAAGACTCTGAAGGAATTCTTGGGTGTGTAGTGAAGATAACAGTTCGATGTAAATAGCTCTGGTTAAGCTGCAAGCGTACAACACGATGTAAGCTTTCCCTTCCGTTTTCGTGCTTTTCTGATACTTCAGAGGTCCAGCGAAGTCTACTCCAACTGCTTGAAAGGGCCGATTCCCTTCGGTTCTCTCGAGTGGAAGCATTCCCGGTGGTGGTTGTTCTAAGGCTTTTGCTTGAAATCGACGGCACCCATAGCAACTCTTTATTACTTTACGAACTAACTGTCTCAATCTCGGAATCCAGTATCTACTTCGTATATGTGCCATAGTCATGCCGACTCCCCCGTGAAGAGTGCATGAATGAGAATCTTCCACTAACTTTGTCGCCAACAGGTTTATGTCAGGTATATAAACAGGATAGTGTCCTTGAATTCGACCACGACATTCTAGAATACCGTTCGTGTTTGGTTGTAAATTTAGTCGTAACCGGTCTTCTTCTAAATCACAGTTCGATTGGGCACGCTTTACCCAAAGGAGAAGTTGACTCTCCATCTCAGCCGTTGTCAATGGTCCTCTGGTTCTTTGGTTAGGATTACGGCAGTTAAACGCGAATCTTGCTATCCAGGAACAGATTCTCAGGGTTTTCCACAGGTCAAACTTGGCGAGTAATTCTTCAATTTTGCTGGTTTCTTCAACTGTTGCTGCGAAGATTTGGCGAATTACTTTAGCTTCAGCATCGCTTTCTTTCGTTGCTGAGGTAATGATGTCACGGGGCCAGTTCTGTCGGTCAGCTAGCCATTCAGGACCATTCCACCAGAGTTGATTTTCTTGTACAGGTCCACCTCTACTCCCTAAATCGGCTGGGTTTTCTTTGGTGGGCACGTGACGCCATTCAAGCTGAGTGTTGGACTTGATCTTCACCACTCGATTTGCGACGAATTGCTTGAATTCTCCCCCGCCATTTATCCAGTGAAGTGCAACGGTGCTATCAAGCCATCCTTGCATCGCGGTCACAGGAAACCCTTCGAGAGCTCTTTGAACATTTCCAACTAGATTTGCAGCCATGTGAGCAGAAACCAGTTCGAGCCGCGGAATTGTCAAACCCCGCTTTGCTAATCTCGACTTCGCGGCCACAAGACCTTGACTCACTCCCGATGATTGATGGACAATTGCGTAGACGGCACTTGAAACACCTTCGCCACTTGCATCGCCAAATGCGTGGAGCTCTATGGACTCGATATCTTCGCGAAATCGCACTAGAGAACGTGGTGCGCTAACTTGTTTTGGAAGGTTCTGTTCCCATAGTAACCACTTCCTTTTAAGGTCTTCCTCTATCGGTGCATCCCATCCGATTTTCCTGTTACACGTTTCACGGTAGATAAACTTTCCCAGCAGGACTTGAGGCGAGACTAACCCCAAAGGATCGTAGATCTTAGCTAGTTTCCTTAAGATTCCTCGTTTGGTAGTTGTTGCTGCTTCTAATGGTACGGTGATACTGATTTGGTCGGACCTCTTTTCCCAACGAAGACCGAGAATGCTCGACTCCCCCCGGTGTGCGGTAGCCAGTTGCTGTTTGGCGAACGTTTCTTCACTTGTGGAATCTATGGCTGGTTCTTCCAATTCTGGTGCATTTGAATGCCACTTGTGTAGGGTAAAGGTTGCGTCACGAAATATCTCGGTTGCTCTGTCCTTGAAAGTTTTTAATTTCGCTACGGTCGTCTTTCCGCCGATAAGGTCGTCTACGTACATACTCTTGCGAAGCTCTTTCACGTCTTCTGGCATTCGAGTTTCCCACGACTCCAAATGGTGTTCGATGACTCCTCCGAGTAGAAAAGGCGAACATGTAAGACCAAACAGTGCCCGAGTGAATCTTAACGTCTCGACTGCTGCTTGATCATTCGGTTTCCAATGAAAGCGGAGTGCATCCCTTTCTGCTTGTTTAATCCGTACTTGGAGAAACGCTTGCTTCAAGTCACCAGTCAATGCAACGGGATGGAATCTCACACGAACCAGGACGTCCCACAAGCGGTTTTGTAGCGGTGGTCCAGCATTCAGGCAATCGTTTAAACTGGGTGCTTCGGAGTGTGCTCGAGCAGACGCGTCGTACACGATTCGCAGTTTTGTTGATTCTGCAGCTTCTCTAACGACTGGTTTGTGTGGTATGTAGAACTCGGTACCCGATGGTGGCTCTTTCGCGTCTTCTACGATACCTTCTTCCCTTTGCGTCTTGATAATCTCTGCGTATGGTTCAGTCAGTTCAGTTTGTTTCAACTTACGAGTTAGGTTGTTGAGTCGTTTCAAACTCCCCTTTTCATTGGATGGAAGGAATGGATGGTTACTTTTCCATGGCAACCCCGTCTCGTACCAACCCTGATCACTTCTCACGAGTTGTTCACGGAATTCTGTGTAGACGTCTGTTTGGTCATGCTCTGGTCGATCCGCGATTCCAAGAACGTCTAACCGACAAAGCTGTTCGTAGTCAGTTTGGTTGGTTTGGGTTAGAAGCATGGCGGTGTAGTCGATCTCTTTCCCTTTGGCGATGATAGTCCATCCGAACTTCGTTTTCTCAGCCACTGGATCTCCGGTCTTTCCAACACGAGGTGGTTCGTCTGTCTTGATGCATAGATAGTCACTTGCGCCAAGGATTAGATGTATGGGTAGTTTTGACTTTTGGTCGTTGTCTTCTATGCGAACGCCTTGTAGATGTGGGTAGCTGGCGATCAGTTTCTGATAGTTTGGATTGTCGACACTCAAGAGTTCGTGCTTGTCAACTTTCGTCACGTTTACGTTCATTTTGAATTTTCTGTCCAAAGCTTCAATGTTAATTGTAGATAACTCCATTTCTCGTGTCACCGCTCCGAGCATCATTTCTACGCGTCGTACTTCTTTACGGTGGTCACGGTTTGACAAGCGCTTCAATAACGCAGCAGAAGCGTATGAACTTCCTGCACCTGTATCTAGAAGCGCGCGGCATTTCACCCCTTCAACATTAACTATGACTACTGGATAAACCAACGGTTCGTAACTAGTTCCGGTTGCGGTAAGTAATGGCTGATCTCTTGTACAAATGGAAGTATGATGTTTTTGATTACAATTCTGGCAATTTATGTTACTTTTGCAGTCAGATGCACGATGTTTTATGCCTGTGCAGTTGAAACATAGTTTTCTTTCCGCGAGTAATTTCTTTCGGGCCGAAACAGTTGAAACTTTACTACAATCTTTTGAAGAATGATTGGAATCTTCACAATAAACACACACGCGCTTTTTTCGTTCACCGTCCTTGGCATGGTAAAAATCTGATTTTGTGCCGTTACGTTTTGGCGGTGATTTTGAATTGAAATGATCCTGATTCATACTGTCTACTGAATGAATATCCTTCCATTTCTTTAGAGCAATTACCAACCGCGGGAGGTCCCAATCCTGCCATCCCTCTTCCCCACGCACTAAATCGGCTTTAATTCCCTTTAGTTTTTCTAGGACGTTTCTGGTGGTACCATTGACTCTTTCTATATTACCCAGAGTCTCTAACGATTGGACATTGTAGGAAAGTGTCTTATAAAATTCACGCACTTTTGCTGAATTCGATCCCGTTATAATGGGTAATCCCATTATATTTTGAATATGAGCGTTGATAATTTCACTTGTTTTACCATACTCGTCTTTTAATATATTTTTGGCTCGTTGGTAACCTTCAGTACTGAAAGGTAACCCGTCTATATCTTCGCGAATTTTAGGTTCTAGAAGTTCCTTAAGGAAACCAAACTTTGAAACGGCTGGTAAATCAGTGGAATCTATCTCTGCTTCAAATGTATTCCAAAACGGCAACCAGTCAGAATATTTACCACTAAATTTCGTAATTTTTAATTTAGGTAATTTTATATTTTGTACCTGTTTGGATTTCGTGTCCATCGACGCTTGCACAGTCTTTTGGTACTCCATTGTTTGCTTCCGTAGCAGCTCCCCGTGTTCCAAATCTCTCTTCCGTTCTGCTTCTTTATGAGCTCGTTCCAGCTCTAACTTCGCATGTTCAATTGACAGCTGTTTCTTGGTCTCCGCGTCGACAGCGATACGTTGTATTTCCTCGTCCTTTTCACGTTGCACACTGATTTCCCCCTGTTCTATTTCACTCAACACGGCTCGAATTGCGTTTAGTTCAGATTCAGCGGCGGTCAATTTTAACTCAACTTCGTCAGCCCAAGTACGTACGTTTTCCTCTGAGTCCTTATTAATAAATTTTAACTCCTCAATTTCCTCTTTCAACACGTAAAGTGCGCTGATTTTTCTCGCAATGGACTGTTCACTTCGTTTAAGTGCGTCTTTATTACGCGCGGTCACAGTATCTTTCGATTTGGCAAGCACCAAGTCTAGCGCTTTCAATTTCCCAGTTAATTCTTCCATTTTTGTTTCCATTTTGATTTAATCCCGTCTTGGAGGTGCCACTATGTTGGGGATTGCCTCCCTTGTTTCGCCCAACAATTCACGTACAAATTAAAACCACAAATAAATTCACAATGACGATATACAGTTTGGATATATATATATATTCGAACAAACAAAACAAATTTAACAAATTAAAGGTTCACTTAGATTCTCTTCT